GCGACATAGCCATTACGCTAACTGCTGGTTCCCTACCTTTTTTTTTTAGGAGAGGTTTTTGCTATTGGGTGACTTGCCAAAAAGACAGAGACAGAAAGCGAGAAATCACCCTCCAGGAGGGATGGCCACGTTGTAATCTCTTCTCCTCCATTCTCCTCTCAGGATCTTGGACATACACACACACGCGTGTGGACGCACACGTGCCTGGCATGAGTTTAAGCTGCTGGGTCCGGGACTCGAACCGTAGTCGACTACATGGGAGTCCAATGACATAGCCATTACACTAACTGCTGGTCCCTGGTTTTGTTTTTGTTTTTGTTTTTTTAAGATTTTTTAAAAATTCATTTATTTAATTTGACCAAAGAGACAAAGAGAAAGAGGAAAAATGAGAAAACATGCCATTAGGTCCAGTTCTCAAACCAGTCAACCATGTGGGAGTGTCCAGGGCCTTAACCACCATGCCACCTGCTGGTCCCTGGTTTGGGTTTTTTTGTTTTCACATACTAGAAGATACATGTGCTCACCCAGAGACAGAGTGAAAGAGAAGGAAAGTGAGAAAGCATTGCTCATGGGGCCTGGGCACACTCCAATCCCTTCTTCATCCCTTACTCCTTTCAGGATTTTGGGCAAGTATGCCCACACACACACAGTTTTTTTCAAGTCACTGGATCTAGGATTCAAACCATGGAGCTGGTTATGTGGGATCCAACTGCCATAACCCCAGGCCAGGAGTAGCAGGTATCTTCAGTTTTCTTACTACAACAATACAATTAACATCCCTATACAATCGCATTTGTACTCTTTTACATACAGAATAAATTCCAAGAAAGAGAATGGACCAAAGACTGACAATGTCTTATTGCTTTCCAAAAAAGTTTATATTGATTTACTTCATAGGGTATATTTTGACAAAACATGGATTTTTAAAGCATAACATAAAAACTAGAAGCCATGGGACCAGCAGTTAGCATAATGGCTATGTTGCTGAACTCCCATGAAGCCGACTGCGGTTCAAGTCCCGGACCCAGTGGCTTAAACTCATTCCGGGTGCGTGTGCGTGTGTGCCCAAGATCCCTAGCGAAGAATGGAGGAGAAGGGATTGCGGTGTGGCCATTCTCCCTGGAGGATGATTTCTCACTTTCTGTCTCTCTTTCTCTGTCATTCTGGAGAGTGCACGTGCCCTATAGCAAAAACCTCTCTCTCAAAAAAAAAAAAAAAAAAAAATAAGAACCCATAGAGTAAAAAAGATAAATTTAGAAGCCATAGAGTAAAAGAGATAAATTTATAATGTAAGAACTGAAAATTTCGGGGCCAGCAGGTGGTGTGGTGGTTGAAGATGCAGAATTCCCACACAGCCAACCATGGCTCAAGTCTCAGACTTGGTGGCTTGCTTTCTCACCTTCCCTTTCTTGCTCTCTCTGATAAAATTAAAAATAATAAGGGAACCAGCAGTTAGCTTAATGGCTATGTTGCTGGACTCCCACGTAGTCGACCACGGTTCGCGTCCCGGACCCAGAGGCTGAAAACTCACGCAAGGCGTGCGTGCCCAAGATCCCAGGAGGAGAATGGAGGAGAAGGGATTGCAGTGTGACCATCCCCCCTGGGGGTGATTTCTCGCTTTCTGTCTCTATGTCTCTGTCTGGCGACCACACGCGCCCTATAGTGAAAACCTCTCAAAATAAATAAATAAATAAATAAATAAATAAATAATAATAATAACAAATGGAATTAAATAAATAATTCTTAAAAAAACAAAAAAGAGGAACTGAAGATTTATGGGACCGATCAGGTAGTGTCATGGTTAAGGCTGAATCCCACATGGCCGATTACCTGGTTCAAGTTCCAGATCCAGTAGCTGGAAAAACATGTCAAGCATGTGTATGTGCAAGCCCGAAAATCCCAAGAGGAGAATGGAAAAGGGATTGCAACATGGTCATCCCCCCTGGGATATGCTTTCTCATTTTTCTCTTTCTCTCTCACTGTTACTCAGCTGAACCTGGGAGTAGAATTCCAATGTGAAGACTCTGGAGGGGTACCTACCACCCGTGGCCACAATTTTAAAAAAATAATCGCTTAATAAAACATGTAAATTAAAACAAAATTCTCATGTAATCTTTAAGACTGGCAAAGCTTCGAAAGTGTAAACTGGCTCTATTTTTGGAGAGTAATTGAACAATTCTTAAAATTTAAGTGTGGGGACCAGCAGGTGGCATAGTGATTAAGGTGCTAGAATTCCCACATGAATGACCACGGTTTAAGTCCTGGACATGGTGGCTTGCTTTCACATTCTCCCTCTCACTCTGTCTTTCTCTAACAAAACTCATGTAAAAAAGAAGTAATAATAAATAAATTATTTTAAAAAGTTAAGTGTGAATATACTTTCACCAGCAATTCTAATACTGGGAATTTAACTTACAGACATAATTATGTAAGTGAAAAGAAATCATATTGGGACCAGCAGATGGCATAATGGTTACATTGCTGGACTTTCACGTAGTGGACCATAGTTAAAGTCCCAGACCTGGCAACTTAAAAATCACGCTAGGCACATGCCCAAGATCCCAAGAGGGGAATGGAGAGGAAGGGATTGTAGAGTGGCTATGGCGCTGGGCAGGGTATGTGGGGGGTTGATTTCTCACTTTGTCTCTGTCTCTGTCTCTCCACTGAGCACATGTAATCTATAGCAAAAATCTCACCATTAAAAAAAGAAAGAAAGAAAAGAGGGGCCGGCAGGTGGCATTGTGGTTAGGAGCACTAGATTCTCACATGGCCAACCACAGTTCGAGTCTCGGACTTGGAGGCTTGCTTTCTCACTTTCTCTCTCTCACTTTCTCTCTCTCTCTCTTGCTTACTAAATGCCTATCTGGTCAAACTGAAATAAATGAATAAATAAAGCTAAATAAAATATTCTTTAAAAAAAAAAAGAAAAAGAAATGATATCATTACACCATTTATAGAAGAAACCACTGATATCAATGCAAGGATTAATTAAATATGTATAGAACATCTACATTATGCAGCAACATAAAAGACTTTAAGAAGAAAACCTAACTGCTTAAAGGGAAATCCGTGGGTGGGAGGAAAAAATAGAATTTCTAAAAAGGATAACAGCTAGTACAGGCTGGAGGCTGAGGGAGAAAAAAGGAAGAGTGCATACCAGAAAGACAGATTGACAGCTGTTCGTCATCCACTGGAGAGGCGTTCTGACTGTTCTTCCCACCTCCCACTTGATTTTCTAGTTTGAGTCCACTGCATACCAGGGGAGCCTCCAAAGGACTTTTACAGTACGGATGGTCCAGCAACTTAGAACTAAGAATGTTCTGCTTGTGAGATCCATCTTCCTCCATCTGGTATGAGTTCTCATTCTGAACAGTCTCTTCAGACACCGGCCCATCTACACTAGTCACAGATTTATCTGCTCCAGACACTGACAGTTTTCCTCTGTCATCACTGACAGTACCTGTCTTATTTTCCGGACCCAGAGTCATAATTTCTCTTTCAGTTTCCGAGATGAACATGTTACTCGAACGAAGCTCTGATAAGGGGATGTCATGAGTCAGCTCTGTACGTTCCCATTTAGGAGAGGAACAGGATGACTGGTCCCAGGTGTATGTGGCACTGCCATTTGGTTGGTCAGGAAATGCTTCATCTAAACTAAGCTTCTTGTCCAAGAAAGGACTTCCTTTAGGGTGGCCATCAGGCATAGGAGAGTTCTTTCCCTTTACCACAGCATTGCTGTCCATATCTGGGAAATATGGCTGATGCCAACAAGAAGGGTCTTTAGGTTCTGGGGAAGGGAATGGGCTGCAACTGCCACCCTCACTGTTCTCTCTAAGGGTCTCCTGATGGTCCCCAGTGACCTTTTGTACCCAGCTTCGCTGGGCTTTTCTTAACTTGCAAACTTTGCTTTTTGTTCTGAAGTGCTGGGATCTGAGAATCCTGTACCGAAATCTAATCATGGATAATTTCTCATACATCATAAGAGGAGACACTTTTATTCGTCTCTGTTGGTTAAGCTGAAACCTTTTTGGAATCAGGGGTCCCCCATTTTGGTGGTGCTTCAGCCCCTGGTAGCAGCTATAACAAAAGCGCTTTCTCTTATGGTTGCTCAAGGTGACCACAACAGTACCACTCTCACCTGGGCTCTGGCTCTCTCCATTGAACTTCATGGGAAAGTCAGAAGTCTGCAGCTCTGTCCTGGGTCTGTGACCATTGGCCTGACCTAAAACATTACGTGCTGGTAAGTCAGCAACTGCCTGTGACAGACTTTTCTCTCCACAGTATTCATGGTCAGAGTTATCTGCTGATGACAGCAACTTCTCTGCTTGGAGTTTCAGGAGAGTCCTTGAGGAAATGAAATGTTTAGTGTCTTTTCTGTTTACTTTGGAGGACAAAGTACTAACATTCCGAGTAGCCACGCTGGACTTGGTCTTAGCACAGAGTGGTTCATCCTGGATCCACGTCTTCTGGACTTGAAGAGCCTTGTTTGTACAAGGAAAATGCCTCAACTGTTTATTGCAAATAACTGGCCTTCCCAACTTAGCTTTCAGAATGCACAAGTGTTGGGGAAAATAGAACTTCTTAAAGCTTCCAAACCCAGTATTCCATTTCTCAGAAAAGGCTAAGTGGATTCCTTTCTTCCATAGAATTTTCCTCTGTTTTTTCATTTTTCTGATGCATAATGAGATCTGAAAGCAGCTGTAAAGAAGAAAATAAAAATTACATTTCGACCTAAACACTGGATCATGAAGACATAATCAATTAAGATAGAAAATTAAAAGGAAAAAAAAGAACACATAAACTTTATACTATCATACATAATAAATTCCTACCTGATTAAGGCTTTCATCACAATGAAAACTGGAGAGGAGGAAAGATATCAGTATTCTAACAAGACCTGAGTTGCTATATACCTGCCTCTGATAGAAATAAGTCTCAAGAATTATTTTCCAGGATGCAGTCTGTTTCTGATGAAGTATACAAGGCAATGGGTCAAAACAGAACATCTATAAGAAAAGAACTAAGTGTTGGCCCTAATTCTCATTAGCCAAGGGATTTTAAGGGAATCTCCCAGATTCTGTGTTCTCAGCTGTAAAATGAAGGATAGAGAAAAGAGACCTCTTAAAACTGATTCCATATTCATTTTTTAATTTCCCAAAAATAATTTGTCTCATACAAGATATTATTTTTTAACGATACATGCCAGAAAAGAGAAACACCTTCAACAGGATCTTGCCGCATCCCTTTCCCCAGCCCTCAAAGTATGAGAGCTTGGGCATCCAGACACATGCCCAGCATGTTTTCAGGCAACTCTGGCATCCCAGCCCAGTTGGCTATGTGGCTTCAAATACCACAGTCCAATATGCCATAGACTATGCCACCTGATTGAACCCTCATACAACAAACTTTTAGAATAAGAACTCTTGCTCTGTATAGCCATCCCAAAGCAGATAATTCAGTAAATACTTGTGATACCAGTATATAAAGAGGGAGACCAGGCTTATCTTTTATCAAAGACTCTTTGAGGGACTCTGAGGGTACAGGACTATCAGGTATTGTCAACCAGTTGTGGCTCTTGCTCTCAAGTGAATACGAGGAAAAAGAACAAACACAAGTATACACACACAAACTTGTTTCCCCTTGGGATTTAACAAGTGTTTATACAAGAGGGTCTTCATAAGTTCATAGGAAAAGCTTATTTCGTTTGTAGACTAACCGTTAAGGTGCTAGATCCCATATGGCCAATTGCAGTTCAAAAAACTGCCCCAGAAGCTTGAAAAAACAAACTAGGTACATGTATATGCGTGTCCGAAATCCCAACAGGATGGAGAAACAGAGAAGGGATTGCAGCATGACGACACCCCACTGGGCAAAGGGTGCTTTCTCTGCTGCCCCTCCTCGGGGCCTCTCTAGTGAGCAAACACACCTTCTGACAATTGAAGGGAAGAAAAAGAAACTCCATGGATTTCAAAATTTTTTGCACTGAAATACTTCTATTTTGATTTTTCCACAATTTCTGAAGTCTCTACATATTACTAAAGGCTCTTCAGCCTAGTAAGAAAGGCAATGGCCACTATAGGTAGAGGGGAAGAAACACTAGACTAGGAATCAGAAATAAATATTCTAATTACAGCCTGCTAATACCTTACCAAAAAAAAAACTCTATTATCTTTCTGTGCATCGGTTTATCTGAAAAGAAAAACAAAGGGCAGAACATGTTTACTTCAGTTCCCTTTCCAAATCCCATTAAGATGGCATAAATTAGATTTTTACTGGATGGTCAAAAAAGTCATGACATATTTTTTATGCAAAAATGCATCATGGTTTTTCTGAAAACCCAATACAAAGGCAAAAGCCTTCAAGGACACAGACAAAGAGGAGACAAGAGTGACAAAATCTTTTAAAGAAGCAGATGAATGAAGAGTAACAGACTTACTATGCCAAAAAAGCTGAAATCTAAGCCACCAAGAAGCAAGCTAAAGGACCTAAGAAAGCCTCAGAATTGGAGTCAATGAATACCCGTGAAGGTCAGGAGTATGGACAGAGCTGAAATGCAAGGACTGACAGTCTGAATAAGGAGCAGTTAGAGCCGCAGACCCCCTTCTCCCACCCTGGCAGTTAACAGTTTCACTTTCTGGGAAGGATGAATCAGGCTAGTTGGTTGGACACATCATATGCAACTAAGGGCGGGGGTACATACACTAGGATGATAAATGAGTTAACACAGTGAATTCCCTCCCTGACCCCTTCCCCAGTCAGCTAGCTTCCAGACAGCTGGCAGTCAGATACATACTCCCGAGGGGCAGACCAGTCTGGGGGATGAGATAGGCCAATCATTCAAAGAAAAAAGACCAACTCATAATCTTATCTGGGAAAGCCTCAACAAAACAGGTCTGAATAATTACTCTATGGTATGCCTTAAAGTGTAAGAAGCAATGAGACCCCTAGATCCCTCCATTCAACCTAGACAGTAACCACTCCTCCCCCACTCAAGACTGAGACTATATCCTTCAGAAAGGGTAAAAAGGGGGAACCAGCAGATGGCGTAATTTTACGTCACTGAACTACCACGTGGTCGACTCTAGTCCGAGTCCTAGACTGGGCGACATAAACTCACATGGGGACGTACCCAAGATCCCAAGAGGAGAATGGAGAAGGAATTGAGGCATGGCCATCTTCTGTGGAGGGTGATTTCTCACTTTCTGTCTCTCTGTCTCTGTCTCTCTGGTGAGCACACATGCCCTATGGCAAAAACCTGTCTAAAAAAAAAGGAAGGTCTACATATTGAATATGAGACTCCTAATACTCTTTCCTACCCATCTCCCAGAACCCTGGCAGTCTATCTAATCCAGAACACTGGAAAGTTCTTCTGTGAACAATATAAGTAGTCCGTAAGAAAATCCATAAAAGATGGGACCAGCAGTTGGCATAATGGCTATGTCACTGGACTCCCGCGTAGTCAACTGCAGTTCAAGTCCTGGATCTGGTGGCTTCAACTCATGCTGGGCGCGTGTGCATATGGGCCCAGGATCCCAAGAGGAGAATGGAGGAGAAGGGATTGCGGCGTGGCCATCTCCTCTGGGGGGTGACTTCTCGCTTTCTGTCTGTCTCTGTCTTTCTGGCAAGCGCACACACCCTGTAACAAAAACCCTCTCAAAAAAGAAATAATAATAATAGCAAAAGTGAAAAATTCAATAGAAACCTTAAAAGTTTAAAAAATAAAAAATTAACAAAATCCAAAGACAACTGATAGACCAGAAGAAAATATTTATGATATATGTCAGCTATAGGGCTAATATCCCTGATATATATATAGAACTCTTGGGACCAGCAGATGATGTAATGGTTAAGTCGCTGGACTCCCACGTCATAAACTACAGTTAAGAGTCCTGGACCTGAGGGGACCAGCAGTTAGCATAATGGCTATGTTGCTGGACTCCCACGTAGTCAACCGCAGTTCGCGTCCCGGACCCAGTGGCTTAAAACTCACGCCGGGCGCGTGTGCGTGCATGCCTAAGATCCCAAGAGAAGAATGGAGGAGAAGGGATTGCGGCATGGCCATCCCCCCTGGGGGGTGATTTCTCACTTTCTGTCTCCCTGTCTCTGTCTGTCTGGTGAGCGCACGTGCCCTATAGCAAAAACCTCTCAAAAAAAAAAAACTAAAAAAAAAAAGCGTCCCGGACCTGGTAACTTGAAATTCACACCAGGCATGTGTGCATGCATGCCCAAAATCCCAAGAGAAGAATGGAGAAGAGACTGTGGGGTGGCCATCCCCCTGGGGAGTGACTTCTTGCTTTCTGCCTGTCTCTGTAACAAGTGCATGTGCCCTATAGTAAAAATCTCTCTCTCAACAACAACAAAAAATACTCTCAAGCTGAAGGATAAAGGACAAAAAGTCTGATGGAAAAAATGGTAAGAAGACATTAGGCGAACCAGCAAGTGGCATAGTGGTTAAGGTGTTGGATTCCTACATGGCCATGGTTCAAATCCTGTACCTGGTGGCTGGCTTTCTCACTTTCCCTCTTTCTCTCTCTCTGTGGTCAAATTAAATAATAATAATAATAATAAATTAAATTAAAAACTATTTTTAAAAAAGAATTATTTCATTTCATTTGATATTATTACTTATTTTTTTAATTTGACTAGAGAGGGACAAAGAGAGAGAGAGGAAGGATGTGAGAAAGCAAGCCACCAGGTCCAGGTCTTGAACTGCGTTCAACCACGTGAGAGTCCAGCATCTTAACCACACCACCTGCCAGCCCCCCAAAAAATTTCTTTAAAAAAAAAAAAGACATTAGGAGACAATTTATGGCGCTTTTCTGGGGGGGCGGGAGGGGGAGAGGTGTTTGCTATAGGGCACATGCACTCACCAGCAAGAGAGAGAGACAGAAAGCGAGAAATCACCCCCCAGGGGGATGGCCACTCCACAATCCTTTCTCCTCCATTCTCCTCTCAAGATCTTGGGCATGCATGCACTCGGGCCCAGTGTGAGTTTAAGTCACCAGGTCCAGGACTCAAACCGTGGTCAATTACATGGGAGTCTGGCAGCATGGACATTATGCCAACTGCTGGTCCCGACGACTTATGGCTCTTAATAAGATATTTACCTTCATTCATAAGAAAATTGGCAAAAATTATGAATACAGTCTGTTCGTGGGAGAAGAGGCAGTTTCAAACTTTGCTGGTGGGAATACAAACTGATACAATTCTTTTGTGTGAGAATTTGGTAATTATCTAATAACGCTACAAAAGTATTTACCTTTTAATCCAACAACTCCATTTTAAGGAAGATACACCTGAAATAATAATGAATACAAAGTTACTTATTGCGACACTGTTCATAACAGCAAAATATTGGGAATAATCTAAATGTTTATACAGAGGATAATAAAGCATGGTTTATTTACACAATGAATGAAGCAATAAAAGAATGATGACCTCTATGAACTAAGATGGAGTGATTTCCAAAATATATCATTAAGTCAAAAGCAAAGATACTGGGAACCAGCAGTTAGCGTAATGGCTATGTCGCGGGACTCCCACGTAGTCGACCGCGGTTCGTGTCCCGGACCCGGTGGCTTAAAACTCACGCCGGGCACGTGTGCGTGCGTGCCCAAGATCCCGAGAGGAGAACGGAGAAGGGATTGCGGCGTGACCATCCCCCCTGGGGGGGTGATTTCTCGCTTTCTGTCTCTATGTCTCTCTCTCTGTCTGTCTGGCGAGCGCACGCGCCCTACAGTGAAAATCTCTCAAAAACAAAAAAAAAAGTTAAAAAAAAAAAAAAAAGCAAAGATACTGAAAACAAGTACCAGTATCATGCCTTTCAATGGTAGGGGGGAATGAAGTGAAAAGAATGGAGGAATTAGAAAAGGAGAGGGTCAGTCAGTGGTGTGGTGGTTAAGGCAGCTGGATCAACTGCAGTTTGTCTCAGACCAGGTAGTTTGAAAAACACACCCTATGCATGTACACACACGCCCAAAATTCTGAGAGGAAAATGGAAGGGAATGGACTGTAGCATGGCCATCCCCCCTCACTTTCTATATTTTTCTCTGTCCCTCCCTGATGAGCAAAATGAGAAGAAAGAATAGAAGAAATGCAAATGGGAGTAGCTCTGTAAAGCCCTGACTTTTTAGAACTATGGAAACGTTCACATACTTTAAAAATATATACTTAAGGGGCCAGCAGGTGCCGTGATGGTTGAGGGCACTGGACTCCCACATGGCCAACTGTGGTTTGAGTCCTGGTCTTGGCTTTCTCGCTTTCCCTTTCTCTCTCTCTCCCTCTGTCCCTCTCTGGTCGAATTAAAATAAATAAACAAATAAAACTAAATAAAATAATTTTTAAAAAAAGATTCAGTCAAGCTAATCAGCATATCTATCACCTCACCAACTTATTTTTCTGTGGTGAGAACATTAGGAAATCTATTCTTTCGACAATTATTTTTGTTAATTTCCAGGAGGAACACGAGTTCCCAGTGTGACAGAGAGAGAGAAAAAAAAATAGAGAAAGCACTCCCTCCATGGGTTGTGGTCATATCACACAATCCCTCCTCCATTACTCCATCCTGTTGTAAACACACATATGCATAAGGATCATTTTTTTCTTAAAGCCGTTGAGACTGAGAATTCAAACCACAGCTGGCTGTGTGGGATCTAGCCCCTTTAACCACTAGACTACATGGCCAGACCATGAACAGTCTTTAAATATACATTATTATTAACTGTGGTCACCATGCAGTACAATAAATAGGTCACTAAAACGTATTTCTTCAGTCTAACTAAAACTTTGTACCCATTGATCAATGTCTTGAGAATAAAAAAAAATTTATAAATTTTCATAGGGCAATGTGTGCTTACCAGAAAAAGGGCAAGAAAGCAACCCCAAGTAGGGTGTAGACATGCAACAGTCATTTTTCTATAATTCCTTCTTCCCATCAAGATTTTAGGCACACATGCACATGAGCCCAGTGTGTTTTATTTTTCTTTCTTTTTTGTTTCATTTTATTATTTATTTTTAATTTGCCAGAGGGTGCATCCACTCACTGGAGAAAGAATGGGAGAGGGAGAGAGTACTCACATATTCTCCCTGATCAAGGAATGATCAATCCATGATCATTTCTCCCTCCTTTTGAGATTTTGGGCATGCAGACACACAAGCCCACCATGAGTCTCAAGCCACCAGGTCCAGGAAGTGAACCATACAGTTGGCTATGTGGGATCTAGACACCTTAACCTCCCTCCAGACCATGGCTGGTCCCAATTTCCAGCGTGTTTTTCAACCCACTGGAGCGAAGATGCAAACCACAGTCAGCCTTGTGAAATCTGGCTCCCTTAACTGCTGAGCTGGTGGGCCAACTCAAGAACAAAAATGTTTATAACTTTTATTAAGGATATAATTTACACATGGTAAAATGCACAGATTTTAAAGGCTTTTGAAGGTTTCTTTTTTTTGAGGTTTTTGCTATAGGGTGTGTGCGCTCACCAGAAAGAGAGAGAGAGAGAAACAGAAAGTGAGAAATCACCCCCCAGGGGGTGAGGGCCACACCACAATCCCTTCTCTTCCATTCTTCTCTCACTTGGGTACACATGTACATGTGCCCGGCTTGAGTTTAAGCCACTGGGTCCAGGACTAGATCCGTGGTTGACTACATGGGAGTCAGCAACGTAGCTATTAGGCCATCTGCTGGTTCTCTTTAAAGGTTTCTCTGTTTGTTTTTGTTTTTAGAGGTTTTTGCTATAGGGTGCATGCGCTTGCCAGACAGACAGAGAGACAGAGAGATAGAAAGAGAGAAATCACCCCCCAGGGGGGATGGCCACGCCACAATCCCTTCTCCTCCAGTCTCCTCTTGGGATCTTGGGCACGCACGCACACGCACCCGGCGTGAGTTTTAAGCCACTGGGTCCAGGACTAGATCCGTGGTTGACTATATGGGAGTCCAGCGACATCGCCATTATGCTAACTGCTGGTCCCAAGGTTTCTCTTTTTAAGACTATGTACACAATGGGGAAAAAAAAGAACAGAAAAAAACATTTTAGAAGCTACAATACAGAACCAGCCCTGTTAAAAGTGGTTAAAGGAAGTGGTTAACCTGGTGGTTAAAAGTGGTGAAGGAAGCTAGGTTCCACATGGCTAACCACAGTTCAATCCTGGGCTTGGTGGCTTGAGAAACATGCCAGCTATGTGCCCCAAATCCTGCCGGGATAGAAAAATGGAAGAAAAAGGACTGTGGCATGATCAGGCCCTAAAGTTCTCTGTCTCTCTGGTGAGCATGTGCAATCAATCTTTTTTTTTTTAAAGATTTACTTAATTTTATTATTTTGGGGGGGTTCCTGTTCTCTCTCTCTATCTCTCTCTCTCTCTCTCGCTCTCTCTCTGGCAAGTAAGCGTGGCCTCTGACATTTTTTTTTTAAACATGAAATTCTGCCTAAATAAATTGATGACACAGTACAATTTATCCAAGAAAAGAAAAAGGAACTAAAAATTCTAGGACGTGCTTAAAGCAAATGCTGAGAAGCTCTAGCTAAATCAGATGTTTATACAAGTAGAAAGGCATAGAGCCCCATGCTTTCTTTCTTTTTTTTTTTTTTTTTAAGAGAGATTTCTGCTATAGGGCACATGCACTCACCAGAGAGAGAGAAAGCGAGAACTCACCCCTGGGGGGGATGGTCATGCCACAATCCCTTCTCTCCCATTCTCCTCTTGGGATTTTGGGCATGCATGCACACGTGCACAGTGTAGTTTTAAGCAGCCAGGTCCAGGACTCAAATTGCAGTCCCCTATGTGAGATTCCAGCAACGTAACCATTATATCTGATGGTCCCTAGTGCCCCATTCTTAAACTGAGCTCCATAAACTGGCTAATAACACAAAGTAAGTGACCATGCATACTAGGATAGAGAAGGATGGGAAAAAAGCCTCTACAGAGAATTCTGGGTTTATAATAAGCAGGACAAAACCAAAATGGTCTTAAATTAGAATTTCTCCATGGTTTTTGAAGGTTCAGCATAAATGCCTAGCAAAAAAACTAATTTATAAAATGATGTAATCTTTATATAATCCTGCCAACAAACAAATCTAAGCAACATTTACTAAGAAATTTTAATATAACATTGTACTACTCTCATCAAAAAAAAGCATTCAGTAACCAACTGCTTAAGAAACTATAAAAACAGAACCACACGGAAATACTGACTTAAAATACTTGTTTTCCTTCTGGGCTCTAGGTACTATAAAATCCAAAATAATACCATTGATTCAGTAAGGTTACTAGTTAAAGAAAGGAAGAGAAAGACAGAAAAAATAAAATAAAATGACAGTAAACTTGTCAGGCATGACATGACATGTTCATTCTCTGAGCCTATAAACTATGATGCCTGAACTACATCTACGTTTTCAAACCAGGAATATCACCTGAGAAGTTATTTTTTCTAAAGAATTGTCTATTTAATTTTTATTTCTTCATTTATTTATTTTAATTTGACCAGAGAGAGACACATGGAGAGGGAAAGTGAGAAAGCAAGCCACCAGATTTGGGATTCAAACTGTGATCAGCCATGTGGGAGCATCTAGCATCTTAACCACCGCGCCACTTGCTGGTCCAAGAGGATTTTTTAAAAAACACAAATACCTGGGGCCAGTAGGTGGCGTGGTGGTTAAGGGCACTGGACATGGTAAACTGTGGTTCAAGTCCTGGACCTGGTGGCTTGCTTTCTCACTTTCTCTCTTTCTCTCTCTCCCTCTTGCTCTGTCCCTCTCTGGTCAAATTAAAATAAATAAATAGAGTTAAATAAAACAATTATTAATTTTTTTAAAAAAGAGTAACTCCTTAATATTAAAAAAAAAAAAAAAAAACCCTAGAGGTCCTTCTTCAAACAACTGTGGTTTTGTTTTATTGATAATTCCTCAATTGATTTGAATCCTCAGCCAGGTTTCACAACTACTGGGTAAGATGACCTTGAAGGTCCCTTCTGTACCTATGACTTAAAAGTCAAATGGACAATCCTGGGTCAAAAGAACTGAAGACTGGGGCTGGCAAGTGGCCTGGTAGTTAAAGGTGCTGGACTCCCAGATGGCTGACCATGGTTCAAGTTCCAGACCTGGCAGTTTGCTTTCTCACTTTCTCTCTGTGTGTTTCACTCTGTTCAAATTTAAAATAACAATAATGGGGCCAGCAGGTGGTGTGGTGGTTTAGGGCATTGGAGTCCCACATGGCTGACCACCATTCGAGTCCTGGACTGGCAGGCTGCTTTCTCTTTCTCTCTCTCTGTCCCTCCCTGGTCAAATGAAAAAATAAATAAAGTTTAAATAAAATAATTATTTAAAAAATGATAAAAAAAATTCTTAAAAATAAGTGAATAACTGAAGACTGTACTTAGCTACTAGCTCTATGTCGCACAGCAGCCATCACAATACCCCACTGAGGAAAGGAAAGCTTCTTTAACTGGCCTGACCAAGCAAGTGAGAACAGGTACTACTCGCTCGCTTACTCTCTGCGTCTCCCTTCCCTCCTCCTCAAATACACCCTTAACTTGGGGTCCACTAAAGAACAGAGCAGTGAACATTCTCTCTTCAATCTAGAGAAAGGCATCACCTCAAGTTAACTTGGAATTGTTTTACTCAGTCACTCAAAGGATTCATTTATACTCTGTGTATTTTCAATGAACACGAAATGTTTCAGAGGCAGAGTGAGAAGGCCTCTGAAGTGTGTGCAGAGGACTCCTTCTGAAGTGAGTCAAGCTGAAAATGAAGCCTTTCTTAGCTTTCCACCTAGAAAGAGCCCACTGGGCAAAAGCTATCTTGAATACAGAACAAACTGATGTAAGTCCTCTCACATAGATACCAACAATGTTTTATCAGTAAGCAGGAAACCTGTGGGTGAGAAGGATAGTGTGCTTTCTGGTGCTGCTCATCCAAAGCAGTCAGGTTCTGACCACACCAGATCCTGGCATCTCTTCTGGCACCCTTCTCCATACAGAGCTTATTCTGGACTAAGGGCCAAAAACCGTAATTAGTAACCTACTATTAAGTGTCCTGGATATTCTTAACCTAAGTTTAACCAGATTCCCAAGACATTTATTCATCTCATTTACCTCTCCCAACTGATTCATATAGGTATGAGAGTCCCACTTTACATGTGGAGAAAAAGACTAAAGAGTCTAGCATGAAGTTAAAACATACCGAACAACAGGCTATGATCCGAAACTCTGACATCCTCTCTGCATCCTTCCTTTCCCAACAGAGTAGCCATATGATACAATGGAATGGGGGTTGATACTGCCTAGCACAGATAGCGACAAAACAAACCCAAAAACCGGCTTCCCATCACCCTAATGCTCAACCGTGTCATATCCTTTCACTAGAAGCATGGGGAAAAGAGCCAAGGCAGGAAGAAGCCAGAACTATCTGAACAAATAAAAACCCTTGACTTCCAGGACCGCAGAAGCTAGAGGCCCCTATCAGCAGCTCTCCCTCTAGAAGCTGTGCCCGGCTTCGGGAGGAGCGGCCGGGGGCGCTAGCTTTCGCAGCGACAGCGTCGCCCAGCCTGGGCTGGAGAGAAAGCCAGGAAGGCAGCGGTCCCTGGGGACCAGCTCCCTCCCCGCCCCCAGAAATGCACGGGTGCCCGGAGAGAGACTGCTGCCTCGGGCTCGGGCGTGGGGGAGGGCAGTGCTGGAGGCCTCCGGGCAGGAGCGCTGAGCTGGCGCGCACCGGCGCGAGAACGGCCAACCAGCCCCGTCAAGCGAACGGTCAGTCCGCCAGGGAGCCGAGTGGATGCCCGCGCTCCGGCTTACCAACGTCCCTCGCTCCCGGCACCAGTCCGGCCGCCGGCCCAGACGCTGCGGCAGCCCCGACCCCGGCCCCGCCCTCGCC